AATATATATATATATATATATATATATATATATATATATACTTCGAAACAAACGTTATCGCTGGTTCGTGAACGAAAAAGCCTTGCTCTATCCTGATGCAATATCGCCAATAAAAATTTTCTAATTTGAGTTACGTGCAACACCCCGGTGTATCATATGATATTATGACGGGCGATTAATTATCGGGGGCATCCTCTTACCTCCCCCACATTCCTTTGAGCAGGGAGCGAGGCCGACTATTTTCCAGGTGAACTTCCTCCTCTTCTTCCTCCTCGTTGCCTTTGACTTTGGCTGATCACCCGCCATCACCGTGGTCGGCGGATGCTTCATCTCTTCCTTCCGTCCGCCGTCGTGCGCGCGCGGCGAATCGCGATCGCGACGCGTCGAAGATAAATCGCTTCGCCGATCCGATCTGGAAGACAGAGAGCACGGGTTGTACGAACGAAGACAAATCACGCGGCTCGACTCTAGGAGGATCTCGAATGCGCCTGTGGATTCCCTCGCCCCCACAAAGGAGGAAGAAGAGTCCGTCGACGGAATCCGAGCCGAGATGCGAGCGCCGCATGAGAGACTCGCTTCAAAATATACTTCAGAAGTGTCACGACGATCGGACAGTAAAGATAAGAATGGAAATTAAAGAGCCGGAGCCGCATACGTTCGACACAATCAAATTCCATTGGAGTACACGGAATATGTAATCTGTAATTTTACCGTTTAACAGAGGAAGAATGGCGAAAAATGGCTTTTCTCTCAACACTTTTAAAAATTACGTCACTTCAGGAGTTTTAGTAGATAAGTTTTCGTAGATATTTACATGCTTGTGACGGGTACTCGCACAGTCACGTGAGCATCTGGACTAGATATCTCGTTGCCTCGATCATTTCCTACGGAAAAGAATAGTGTGTTACAGATTTATGAAACTATTGATGGTTTTCTTGAGTAACGAGTATGAAGCAATTACCTGCGACAAGCAATGGCGGTGCAATTACCGCTTTACTGTCCGGCACTTCCCTCATGGGTAGCATGTACTTGTACAAAACTCCTGGATTTAATTCCACGGATAAGATCTATATAGTAACGCACGAACAATAACATTAACATCAAAGATAAAATACAAGTAGATTGATATTTAAAAATGTATTGTACTAAAAGGTCATCTATACAAATGTAAAAAACAAGAATAATGTAATAATGAAAGTGAAGTCAAATTTATGAAAAATTATTATCTGTCAAATTATTATCTTATCCTCAAATTATTGACCTTGATAGAGGTTACGTAAGAAATAAAGCTCTAAATAAAATTAGAGAAATAAAAAAAATTCGTGAGTAAAAGCCGTTGATAAATTGTAACTCGAATTATCTGTGTAATTAAAGAAAATTTGTTCCCGATACTGATTAACGAAAAGTCGATAACGATAATCGCGGAGAGACTCGTACCTCTAAATGTAGAGACTGATTCAACGGTCCGGTCGCCAAGATACACTCCATACGGTTCCTATCGCCTCTCTGGTATGTTAATGTCGTACCAGCCGCTTTATAAGTACCACTGGGACTGTAAGACCACGGTCCGTTTAGGATGTAACTGCCGTTACTGTCTCTCAACGCTGCGAGTAGATTGATCGTTTGTTAACCAGCGCCAAGTATCAAGCTTGCGTGTCACAAATAAAAACGCCGCTTAATTACTTTGCGCTTTCAATAAATTATTAGCACAATTACTAGAAATGATAAAAATATCCACGGCGAATCGCTGTAATTTTTTTTATTAATTTTTTCTACTAACATAATTTCTTCTTTTAACGGGAAGCTTCTGTCTGCTAGCTTCTAAGAACAATATGTGTCAATCTGTTATAAGTATAAGCTAATTATTTAATGTCAATTGACAAAAGCTGAAAATCGCTTTATTTCGGTAAAACGATTTCAAATGCTACCTAGAAAATTACTGCTGAATCGAAGCTCGGAAATGTTGAGCGACATAGCACCCTTCGGAATTGTGGTCACCTGCTGGTGACCCTTGGATAGAATCGGCTCCATAAAGATGCCCTCGAACAACCTGCACCCTTTGCCTTGACCACCGCATACGCCGCAGGCGTCCATCGCCGCACCGGAACCCACCACCCCGTCGCATCCTACAGGCTGAATGGCAAACATGCGAATTTTCAGCACCGCTGCGTTTAATCCATTTAGAAAATACACTCGGTACTTTATCTCTCTTCCATCCAAATTCTATCGATATTATCAACTCTCGATTACACGAATTCGTAACGATACTCTTTTTAAGTAGAATATCAAGGGATGTCTAAACACGAAAAAAAATTTCCCCGAAGAATTCCCCGATTTTCAAGATAATTTGTCACAAATTACAGACAAGATGAAAGTATTTTTAAGTACATCTTACAAATAAATATATATTTATTGTGCAAAGTTTTTAATATTTTT